AGCCTGCCCATGAAAGCAGCACTGGGCATGTGGCGTCAGCTGAACGACGATCATGCCACGACCTTTGGCAAAGGTGCAATCTCATTGAATCTCTGCATTGCGCAAGGGTTGAGGGTTTGCAGTGTCAGAGCAGGTCTCGGGCATTCAGGGCAGCGGTGCATGTGGACACGACATGCTGAAGGTATGCGTGGCTCTGTCAGGTACTCGCGGAAGTAGAAGGGCAGTAAATGCCAACAGCGACTGTGAACATGCATGTCTTACATGTCTGTGTTGTATAAAGCTCATGCCGCCCTCGAGAGGATGTAAGGTCCCCTGCTCGCTGATTCTACCAGCGTCGCTTCGCTTGAAATTCCGGCTCCGGTGCGGCGACTACCGCACACTGGGGACACACATGCCCACGTTGGCCTGGCTCAGGGCAATGCAAAAATGAGATGCAGTGTGAACACAACAACTTATGTGTAGTTCAGCATGTTCGAGAAATGGGCGCGCGCGCGCGCGCGCCCGAAACTTTCGGAAAATGCGCGCCAAAACCTGATTGCCATCTGGGATGGCTGGGTACAAGGGACGCCGTTTTTCAGGGTTGAGATGTTTAAGGTTTCCATACAGTTTTCTGGATTCACAGAGCGTAGGCAAGCGTCCACAAGCCTTCGCGGGAAGAGCCCGACAGATTCACAAAATGGAGGCCCCTAAGCCCTAAACCCTAAGCCCTAAACCCTAAGCCCTAAACCCTAAGCCCTAAACCCTAAGCCCTAAACCCTAAGCCCAACAATCGGGAAAACTCGGGACTATGGGCACCATGGCTTGGATGCTTTGAAAAGGCCTCGGGTGGTAACGATACCAATGATGAGAATAGCAAGGGTTTAGGGTTTAGGTTTTAGGGGCTTAGGGTTTGGGTTTAGGGTTGTAAATTTGGGGATGTTCCCCTTTACACTAACAGTCCTTAATCGGGATTCGACCACCCCCTAAAATAATCCCTACTCAGGACTGTTAATATAGGGGGGAACATCCCAATGTAGACTCGCAAAGGACTTGTTTTTTTCTACATGGGTTTCGCAAAATGGCAGCTTTACTAAACCCTAAACCCTAAACCCTAAACCCTAAACCCTAAACCCTAAACCCTAAACCCTAAACCCTAAACCCTAAACCCTAAACCCTAAACCCTAAACCCTAAACCCTAAACCCTAAACCCTAAACGGCAAGGCACCTGGACGCCTCCCCTTACGTCTCCTCGTCTCACGCCTTGACCTGCGGTGGGCATGATTTTCATTATTCTTGGCGAGTACTCTTCTTATTTGTCTTCCTCTCATTGCTATGCTTATGACTTTTATTCTTCTTTTGTTCCTATGGTCATGGTCCCTATTATGAGCCTCTTTTTCTTTATGCCTTTATCAGGCTAAGGGCTGCCTCTCGCGCAAACACCTTTCCGGCTGGTTTCCAGCTCCCACGTGCGACCCCCCGACCCACCCAAGGCACTCACACAGACCACAGACTATCGTGGTGGAGGCCTTTGGATTCCTGGGCTCCTAGCATGGTTGATCAGCATGTCTATCTAAACCCTAGCCCTCAAGCCCCCCAAAAACCCGAAGCCCCAAACCCTACAACAGGCACATGCGCTCCGGAGTTTGTATCCGGAATTCGGAGGCAGGAGGTTTTTTCTTCAGGCTACTCCAGGATGTTTCATAGGATGCACAGGTCACCGCCTGCTAGGCAGGCTTTTCAATTCAACTCAACTAGCTGAAGCTCAAACAAGTGACCACACTCGGTTTCCCCGTCTCTCCTTTTTGGTCTTCATGCTCTTGCTGTGGGGAAGGGGGGAGATGCCTGTGTCGGCTTCCGGGTTTTTGGCTTCGGGGTTTGATCTCCGAACAGACTCGAGAGAACCAACTTCTTCTCTAGCGACTGAGCAAACCTTGGCATGAGTCACTCGGCTAGGCATGCTCCACTGGATTGAAACACAAGCATGTCCCACTGGATTGGAAAGCTTAAGGTTCAGTAGAAGGTTTCGGGTTTTGGCTGTCTTTTCAGTAAAGGACTAGTAAAGGATTCTTGGTCTTCTGCGACCTGTCACGTGTTGGTAAACCCCCTTTCCTGGTTTCGGGGTTTTGGGGTTCAGGGCTTGCAGGGTTTTAGGGTTCTATGGCTCAAAGATTTGAGAAACATCAGGTAACCCTTCCCACCTTCACATTGTCATGCAAAATGGCCTGGCTGGCGACGCGGCGCAGTGGATTCTTTATAATTCTCTTTTTTTGTGGGTTGGGGGGGGGTGCGGGGGTTCCTAGACCAAATATGCTCACTGTGTCGGGGCTCCTTGCCCATTCTCTCACCTTTTCTTTTGGGGTCGAAACCTTGAGTTCCCTTTTGAGAAGTGTCCACAAGCTTCTTGAACCCTTCGAGAACCCAGAGCTGCCCCAGACACTCTACCCGGACTCGACCCTGGCCCTGCGCGCACGTTCTACTCATGAACATGCGCACCTTCCCTAAACCAACCCTAAACCCTAAACCCCCGCTCCCCCCTTTTCGCCCCCTACTCCCCCCCCTCCCCCCCACCGCCGGGCCTACGGGTGAAATGTTGCCACGGCGATGTCCATGATGGGGAAGCTCGGACTTGCGAGCCCTACTTCAAGGGGCTTCCGAGGCAAAAGAGAAGCCGCAACAAAGAAAAGACCCAGCCCCACGCTCCTACAGGCCTCGCCCTCACCACCTGAGAATCAAGCTCGCCCAAAGCAACCCACAGTATGGAATGGACTCCAATATACCTCTCAGAGGCTCTCTGCTGGAGCCACGACTGGCGCAATCGAGCTTTGGGGGCTTTTCGTGGCTTCCGCGACCCTCCTCGACTCATGGCACAAGCTCTTCGGGGCTGAGGGCTTTAGGGTTTAGGGTTTAGGGTTTAGGGTTTAAGGTTTAGGGTTTAGGGTTTAGGGTTTAGGGTTTTGGGTTTTGGGTTTTGGGTTTAGGATCTTCTGGAAGAACTACGCAACCTCATGCTTGGGGACGCTGGCAGCAAAACCCATCTCCTAAAACATCCGGCGAACGGCATCTACGCGCCCACCCATGCACCCACGCACCCACGCGCCCACGCACCCACGCACCCACGCACCCATGCACCCACGCACCCACGCACGCTTCAATCCTCTCAGTGCCATAAGCCATACAGGCTGAATCGTTGAGAACCTATCATCTCTGCATCTGCCCATACGCGCAAACTCCGCAGGACATTTCAGCGTCGCCAGGCTTGGAGGCGACGACGACTACTAGCATTATGACGACGAGGACTGCTAATTACTACTACTGCTGCTGCTGCTCCTACTACTACTACTACTACTACTACTACTACTACTACTACTACTACTACTACTACTACTACTACTACTACTACTACTACTACTACTACTACTACTACTACTACTACTACTACTACTACTACTACTACTACTACTACTACTACTACTACTACTACTACTACTACTACTACTACTACTACTACTAACTACTACTACTACTACTACTACTACTACTACTACTACTACTACTCTACTACTACTACTACTACTACTACTACTACTACTACTACTACTACTACTACTACTACTACTACTACTACTACTACTACTACTACTACTACTACTACTACTACTACTACTACTACTACTACTACTACTACTACTACTACTACTACTACTACTACTACTACTACTACTACTACTACTACTACTACTACTACTACTACTACTACTACTACTACTACTACTACTACTACTACTACTACTGTGAACCTAGATGTGAGCCAACAACCTTTGTGCACGCTATGTGGAGCACAGCTTGGTAGCGGAAGATGCATGCTCAAGGATAGGCACAAGTGCAACTCTTTTAACCCGTATACAACTAACTTTCACTGATACCATTGACGTCATACTAACCCTGGTGATAAATGAAGGCTCGGATTATCAGTATGACGCTTGGCTGTTCCTTGGGACTCCGAGAGCATGCTTTGGAAAAGTGCTTTGGTGCACGGTGGTTCAAGCATCTCGCCTCTTTCCGTGCTCTGGCAGGTGCTTTGACAGACGTGTCCCACGAATCGCGTCCACCCCATGCTTGGCATGGGGGCTCCTGAAGCTATGGTCACGTCTTGTAAATGCGGGCTCATGAAATTCCACAAGCCGCACGAATGGCCGGTACTGGCCAGCGGAGAATCATATATTCACACATGGGAAAATCGAATTAGGGCTTCACGCAGATGGTGCTGGGGATTGCGTAGGGCAAACAGCTTCTACTACAAGCAGATCGGCAAACGGCATGTGTCAGATTTTCAAGTGACTGTACCTTGGACCCCTACAGCTGTACCCTGGACCCTTTTCAACGACCTTTGAAGGGCACAGATCGAAGAGCCAAAATAGGAGTACAGTAACGGAACCATTTTAGGAGCACAAGCTTATGGTTGTGAGCTTTTCATCCCTTGACAACGGTGGTTCTTCTCTTTGAATTCCAAGGACGCCGCGGGTCTTGGAGAGCCCAAAAAAGTTCCAGGAATGGTGGAAGACCTATCTGGGGGGGGTTTTCCCGAAATGAGGATCATGCGCATTTGCTCTCCCCATTCGTGTCGAAGAGACGCAACGGAAGCCTCAGGTGCAGGTATGGAGACGAAGTCTGAGAGGCCCAGCGGCTTTTCAGGAGCCATGGAGCAAGGAGTTGTATTCGGTGGCGCGCTCAGACTTCCTCCATCCACACGAAGACTGAAAGAATTTTAACAGGTGCCATGAGAATCTCTCGAACCTGGCGAGGAGCTGATTGGATCCCGCTACTACCCCTAGTCTTTTTTCTACACATTTCTGATTTTCTGAGAGGGGGGAGGGGAGGGGAGGGTGGTGGGGAATGATGGCGGTTCTTGAGGCTCGCTAGACGAATCAGTTTTGGGATTCTTGTGCGACAGAAAAGCGTCCATGATATTCCTTGAAAGGAAAACGTTCCAACAGCGGCCCAGAAACGGCACTCAGTGGTTTTCAAGCTGCTCCATCATCCTCTTCGAGGTTTACATCGCCTCCGTCGGGGCCATCGCCGGCTTCAGCAGCCTCATCGCCCTCTGCCGCTGCGTAGCCATAGTCCCCTGCTTCATGGCCATCGTCGTCCCCCGCGTCCCCAGCATCATGGCCATCGTCGTCCCCCATGTCCCCAGAATCATGGCCATCGTCGTCCCCCATGTCCCCAGAATCATGGCCATCTCCCACCTCCGAAGGGCCATCGTCTCCCGCTTCGTGGCTGTCATCGCCCTCGGCCTCATCATCTGCTGCTTCGTCATCTGCTTGAGGAGGTGTGCAGACACCGCAGCTTACGAGGCAATGCTTGCGAATGACAGCCTCGCTGCAAAGGCCCTTCAACGCTGCATCGCTGCAGCTGGAAACGCCGTCGAAGAGTGGCGCATACGGCAAGTCTGCCAGCAAAGCCTGGCGAAGGGGAACGCGACTCCTTTGTATCCCAAGTGTATAAAAACCCGTCATCATGCTTCAGACTCTCCACATCTGTTTGGTTCGCATATTGTGGTATTATGCCGGCGCTGGGGTGTGTTGCCCATTGCAAGGGCCCTTTACAAGCTTCATAGAGCTGGACCGCAAGGCCCTCTAACCAACACCCCAAACCCTCCGTATATCACGTCCCGAGCCTGCAAACCACAAATCCTGCAGCCCGAGCCGCCCGAGCCCAGCAACTCCCCCCGCCTGGTTGTCGTCGTAGCATGCGCAGGAACCTGGACAGCCGTTGCCAGATTGCCCAAGGCAGCCGCAAGCCACGGGACACAGCTCCTGGGTCTTTCTTTTCTCCTTCTCTTTGGTCGGGGCAAGCGTTAGGCCGTTGGGCTTCGGGCAAAATGAGGCGATTTTGATAGAGTGAAGGTTTGAAGGTTCAGGGATCCAGCGTCTATAAGGGTTTCGGTGGCAGCTTCTTGAAGAGAGAGAGAGAGAGAGAGAGAGAGAGAGAGAGAGGTTTAGGGTTGAGGGTTTAGGGTTCAGGGTTCAGGGTTTAGGGTTCAGGGTTTAGGGTTTAGGGTTTAGGGTTAGGGTTGAGGGTTGAGGGTTGAGGGTTGAGGGTTGAGGGTTGAGGGTTGAGGGTTGAGGGTTGAGGGTTGAGGGGTGAGGGTTGAGGGTTGAGGGTTGAGGGTTGAGGGTTGAGGGTTGAGGGTTGAGGGTTGAGGGTTGAGGGTTGAGGGTTGAGGGTTGAGGGTTGAGGGTTGAGGGTTGAGGGTTGAGGGTTGAGGGTTGAGGGTTGAGGGTTTAGGGTTTAGGGTTTATTTAGGGTTTAGGGTTTAGGGTTCTTTAGGGTTTAGGGTTTAGGGTTTAGGGTTTAGGGTTTAGGGTTTAGGGTTTAGGGTTTAGGGTTTAGGGTAGAGAGAGGGCTCCTTCAAGGGCGCATAAAACCGGTGAAAGCCATCGCAGAGATCCGTGCCCGTCACCTGGAACTGAGGGGTCAAGGGTTTGCTAGTTCCTCGTTGGGATAGTACTAAAAGTCTATAAATTTCTGTTCCTTTTGGAGCTTTAAGTACCCGTAAACATATGGGGATCTAAATTTGTTCCTTATTGAGCTTTAAGTACCCGTAAACATATAAAGTTTCACCCCACTATGACAAAGGAACTGAGGGTTTAGGGTTTGGGGCTTAGGGCACTGGCTTAGCGGCTTTGGGGTGGAGATGCAAGGCGTTTGGGTCTATGCAGCCTTAGGCGGAAGTACCCCAAAACTGGAGTTGGATACCCATGCAAGCCAAGAATTGTCGTGCGCACAGACGAAGCCAAGGTAATCCACAAGGGTTTGATCCGAGTCTGACACAGAAGTTCAAGAAACTCATGGAAACAGCTAGGCTGCTCTCGATTTGTTCATGGTAGCACCGGTGCCCCCATTCTTGAGTTGTCAACGCGGGGAACTTAGAAACTGAATGAAGCGGACGGGTGGTTTCAGGAGCTTTGGGCGAAGGGCCTACGAGACGTTTCGGGTTTCGAAGGTTCAAAAGTCACTCAATTGGGAAGTCCAGTCTCATCATTTTCGGGGCAAAGATGCTCCCAACCCCACGAGAAAGGGTGGTGCAGAAAGTCTCGTGTTGCACCGTTCAACGCATCCAGGACGGGCCCATGGGGTAAGCTCCCGAGTGAGACCTACGAGTAGAATTGCTTCTTTGGGTTTAGGGTTCTAAGGTGTTGGGTTTGCTCAAAAGCTCGGGAAACCTACACGCAAGACACCCTTTGTACCCCAGGAGTCAGTTGTGTATGCATCCTCGTCACCAGCTCCTCTCGCTGCTCGCCATTCCGTGCCAAAGCTCCACAACCTGCCCCACGCTTTAGGGCTTAGGGTTTAGGGTTTAGGGTTTAGGGTTAGGGTTTAGGGTTCAGGGTTCAGAGTTCAGGGTTCAGGGTTCAGAGGGTTCAGGGTTTCAGGGTTCAGGGTTCAGGGTTCAGGGTTCAGGGTTCAGGGTTCAGGGTTCAGGGTTCAGGGTTCAGGGTTTAGGGTTTAGGGTTTAGGGTTTAGGGTTTAGGGTTTAGGGTTTAGGGTTTAGGGTTTAGGGTTTAGGGTTTAGGGTTTAGGGTTTAGGGTATCCATTTCAGAAGGGCTGTAAGGGTGGGGCTTCTGTCTTACGGCCTGCGTGTGGAGGGGTTGTTGGGTTGCAGGCTTACGGGCTCATGGTGTTGAGGGATGTAGCTGCCCAGCTACATCAAGTGATGGAGGAAACCACTCCCGCTGTGTTTGGTGACGGCTCGAAGTTACTCTTAGATGTAGAGGGAGAAAAAAGTACGAAGGGATCTACCGATTTCACCCGTCTGCAACCCGCTAAGCCTTTTTGAGCCTCCAAAGCCCGCGCTGATCACTCTCAGATCTTCCCATGGCCATAAGACGTTGTTGCGCTGAGGGCCATTCTCTGCTGGCCCGGCAGGAGCACAAGCAAAAGACCCCAGAAAATCAACGTACTTTAAATCGTCTCTTGGTTCGTTTCTGCACTACTTTTCCCTTCGTTCACTTCACGAAGCGTGCGTTCTTCACTCTGTTCATGCCTTGCCTTCGTTCGTTCTCTATTCCTGGGGGCTTTTCAGGAAGTTGAGATGGTGGATTTGAACCCTAAAAACCCTGCTGAAGCCTACGCTCACAAGGTTCTCGATGCTACCCTACACCCTAAAACCCTCAAACCCCAAAACCCTAAACCCGTAAAACAACAAACCCTAAACGCTAAGCATCCTCCTAACGCTAAGCATCCTCCTGAGCCACGGAAGCGTAAAACCCCTTTCGACTGCATTCGACGGGCCCAGCTGCCTGCTTCGATCATCTGGTCGCCTCTCCTTGCTTGCCCTAAACCCTAAACCCTAAACCCTAAATCCTAAACCCTAAACCCCAACTATGAGAGCTGGAGGTGCAGAGGGCTTCGGAGTGAGGCTTTGGGGGAGTTTGGGGCGCATGGCCTTTTCTCCCCTCTTCAGGGGCATGGGAGCTTCATCAAGAACTCAAGCCTTCAGCCCTTGATGCTGGCCACCGAATGACCCTAAACCCTAAACCCTAAACCCTAAACCCTAAACCCTAAACCCTAAACCCTAAACCCTAAACCCTAAACCCTAAACCCTAAACCCTAACTGCACCCTCCGACTCTTCTTTGGGGCCGCTGGAGAGCCCCCCCCCCCCCCCCCCCCACCCTCTCCCATGTTGCCCGCGTACCTTAGGGGCCCACTTGTTGGAGGCCTCCCGGCCTTGAATTCAAAAAATGCGTTTACAAGCAAAAGGGCGCCTGAGGAGTGTTGTTTTCTCTTATGAGACAGTGACTTGGTGTAAGAACATCAAAAGGGGGACCCCCTAGGGGAGTGCAAGCCACAAACCCTTCAACCCCACAACTTTGGAGTAGACCCTGGAAAAAGTATATACTTTCAGGTATTAAGTAGCAATGATCGGAACCCAGATTCAAAAAAAGTAAGTACAGTACTCCAGAACCCAGGCCATGAGTTGCTGACCCAGGCTCTCAATCAAGTCCTCCAGCTTCAGCGTGTCGTTCGCAAAGCCCGCAAAGCGCGCAATGGACGCGGGGTAGGCAGTCCAGAGGTCGTGCCATTTATCCTCCCGGCAGAGACGATGGGGGTTTCCGAAGATAGGGGTGCCCTTCTTGAGGGGCAAGTGTATTTGGGGGTGGGGGGGAGGGGCTGACTTGCGGAACTACCCGCATGCAGCGCAAAGCATACCCGGTTGCAGCATATCCGGTTACAATCCTAACGACGCAAAGTATACTCCTACCGACGCAAATGGGAGAAGGAACTGCTTGTACGATTCTGAAGATGGAGAGGGGGCGGGGGAGTTCCATGGGGTTGGAGGCAGCCTTTGAAAGAGGCGCCCAGGGCCTGACTGGAGATGACTGAAAGGGGAAGGGGAGGGGTAGGCCTTCAAAGACTACCGCGGTGTTTCAAGGCGTGGATGGACGTTTGGGTGGGAAACAGGTGGTCTCCCACTCCTCATTCTTGCCCATGTCAGCACACGGCTTCTGCGACAACAGCTTGAATCCGTCCCGCTTGCCTAGGAGCGTGTTCACATCGAACTCCAGAAGGCTTATGAACTTATGAAGGCTATTGAGATGCGCTCTTCAGCCTTTTGAGTCTGGGGTTCCCTCTCGACGTTGTTGTCAAGGCGCATTGAATGCCCTCTAGACCCTGAGCCGAAGCACTCCAAGACATTTCCGACCTAAACAGCCCTGAACCCCTGCAAAAGCAAAAGCGCACCACCTCTGAACCCCTCCCGAACCGAAAACTTGCCTGGGAAGCTCCCGGGAGCCGGAATTGCTGACGTGACGAAAGTTTGGGGAGGATTGCTACTCCCGGCTTGTTCTCATAGGGCAGCTTCATGTAGGCCACCAAAAAGTTCTAAAGCCCCTGCCTTCCCTTCCGGTGTTTCTGGGCGCAACGCACCAAGCAGGGGAGGCCCATGTGTGAAGGGCGGCCATAAGGCTTGAACATAACGCGGCATATTCATTGCTGCACCATGCCTGGGCCTCGACCCTAGGGGCGTGAGTTCAGCCAACGCGACAGGAAGGTGTCAGGAGACTGTGGCAAGCCCCGCAAAGCCTACACTCCAAAACCTCGATCTCACACGCGTCTGAAATCCTGAAACTTCACGAGAGAAGGTCGACTCAAACAGGAGCATGCCGAGTTGCACACGCGGGGGCACCCCTGCTCCTCCACCATGAACCATGCTGTCCTCAGTAAACTTTGAAGCCTTAAGCTGTTCACGGAGTCTGCAGAGGAATGTTTTACAAATATGAAATATGTCTCTGCGTGAACCCAGTGTCAGTGTTTTCGCTGCAAAGCAAACAGGCCGGGGGGGGGGGTTCGTTTTCTCTTTGTGAGTGAACGGACTACCACTACAGAATTCTGAGCTATAGTTTCTGAGGTTCAGTTAGTCTCCGAACCACAATTTCTGAGCAGCAAACTTCTAAACGAGTTTTCGTAAATCACAATTTACGAGCCGCTTGCTTCAAGAGTGTGGATTCCTGAAAAGCTTCTGAAGATCAAGTTTCTGAAGCACAGTTTCCGAACTTCTGAACGGGAGTTCTGAATCGCAGTTTATGCACCGCTGATTGCTGAACCATTGGCTTCCGAATCGCGGTTTCCGAATGTTGGGCCAGATTCTGCATGATGCTACGATTGCCGAGCAAGAAGGGCTTACATGGCCAGAGGCCCTGTCCCCAAGGTTTGCAAACTGTGCAAGTGATGGTCACTTGTCGTATTCAACATGAGCAATTACTACCCATTCCGGATAGTGGGCTCGAGCGCAGCATGAACAGTCGGATGTAGAAAAGACGACCGCCCACTCACTATGAACCTTCCGACTCCTAGCCAGCGTTGTGCCCCCTCAACTACGGGAATGTATCAACTGCCGGGGCCCTGCCGCACAAATGTCAACAAGCTTCGTTGTTGTCGTGTTTCTTTGTGCGTGGGGAGTATCACATTTCGTCATGAAGTATCTTTGTCACTGTAACTCCAGACTCCCAGAAACCTGAATCCACCCAAAGAAGGACAATGAGGGAGGGCAGAGGTCACTCCCACATCGCCACAGCCGCACGTTTTGCTGCAGACCAGACGAAGCAGCTTGCTGTCGTGGCAGAAGGCTTCCATCTGGGGACACCTTACAGGCTTATCAATCCAGGGGCCACAAGGGTGTTGAGGAATCACTGCTTAGGTATACGGGGGGTGCCCGTGGTGTCAGAGGGGGGTGCCCGTGGTGTCAGACACCAGAGTCAGACACCGTCTCGACCCGATCGGGGACCAGATACCCTCCGAGTCACACACCTACACAGCAGTGTCGGTGACCACCCCGGAGTGGTGTCAGGAACCCAGAAACCCCCCTCACAGCCCCAAGCATGCCTCTGTCTATGCAGCTCCCAAGCCCCCTCACAGCCCTCACGGCCCCTCCCAAGCTCTCCTTTTTTTTTTCGTGTCTACGCAGTCCTCACAGGCTCCGCTAGCCGTCATGCATTTTTACATGACGCCGTTTGATGAAGTAAGGATGCTTCACAGGGTCTTTGGTTTTCGAAGCCCTGGTTTTTGGGGATCACGAAGGTTTAGGGGGCTCGGTCCATCTCGCACGTCGTATCTCTCTGGGTCGGCTTCTCTTCCGAAGACACGATTTGGAGGCTGTGCAGCGCCCAATCGGCCCGCAATCGAGCATCGGTGTGACAGGAATGAGGCCTTTGCCAGGACCCGAGGCTATGAAGCAAACACCAAGAACTACGACGATCAATTTCTTATGGCTCTTACATGCTTCTTCCTGCATGGCTGGGAGCCAGGAAGAAGCATGTAAGAGCCATAAGAAATTGATCGTCGTAGTTCTTGGTGTTTGCTTCATAGCCTCGGGTCCTGGCAAAGGCCTCATTCCTGTCACACCGATGCTCGATTGCGGGCCGATTGGGCGCTGCACAGCCTCCAAATCGTGTCTTCGGAAGAGAAGCCGACCCAGAGAGATACGACGTGCGAGATGGACCGAGCCCCCTAAACCTTCGTGATCCCCAAAAACCAGGGCTTCGAAAACCAAAGACCCTGTGAAGCATCCTTACTTCATCAAACGGCGTCATGTAAAAATGCATGACGGCTAGCGGAGCCTGTGAGGACTGCGTAGACACGAAAAAAAAGGAGAGCTTGGGAGGGGCCGTGAGGGCTGTGATGTCACGACTTGCAGATGCCAAGCTTAAACTTAAGCCAACACAAAAATGGTGGCAGAACACGTGCCATCTACAGTTCCCGACTCTATCTATGCTACTCCCTGACACCGACCCCCCCGGTCGGCAAACCGACTCGTTTAGCGGCCGACACCGCGAGCACAGGTAGACGACCCCGTCTGTTGGTGACCGACCCGGATTTTCCCCAGCGTACATTTCCCCAGAGAATAGGGTCGCCCCAAAACACTTCAGTGGGCTGGTGCCCCTTTATCAATGCCCCCCCCCCTCTACCCAGAAAACACTTCGACCTCTCTTACCCCACAGCAAACCGCTGTGGGAGCCCCATCCAGCCAGCTTCGGACAGGCAATTAGGGGCACTTCGCCGCGTCTGTGGTGGGACTCCGGCGCAAGTCTCTGCGGGTGCGCACTCTCCAGAAAAAACTCGCCGGGACTGTGTGGGCTTCTCCGCGGACACTCCAGGACCGGGCCAGGAGACCAGGACACCGGACGAGGTGGCGAGAATGGTTGACTTCAAACCTTACAGCCCCCACACCGAAGGGGAATGAAAGGTTCCTCCCGGAATTGTCGCATAGTTTGACAAAACTCCCATGCAGCAGCGGCTGTACATGCTGCTGAAGCGCTTTGCAGGCCTCCAGAACCACCAAACTGTTCGGCCCTTGCCCAGCACCGCCCGAAATCCTAACCTCAATCGAAGTAGGCAAGGCAGTGGCGAACCCCAAAGGGCCGCAAAAGAGGGATGAGCGGCGCCTCACAAAGGAGCTTGTGTATATCGAAGCCAGCTCGCCGGAACAGTGGCGAAGCTCAGCCAATGGCCCCAAACGTAGGATCAAAAACAGGGTTTAGGGTTTAGGGTTTAGGGTTTAGGGTTTAGGGTTTAGGGTTTAGGGTTTAGGGTTTAGGGTTTAGGGTTTAGGAGCTTTGGTTGAAGGCTTTCTTCACAAGAAATGCTACACCTGCACACCCTCTCCACCTGGACCCAGAACCCTCGGCCCCGAAATCGAAATCCTCAACCCACCAGGCCAACCCACCTGATTGTTAAACCCCAAAACATGGGGAACAGCTCCGGCCGGAACACGTTGCGCCCGGCTGAAAGCCTAGATCGTCGAGGACAGTGTTCCAGTAGACTCGGTAGAAATCCAGGTACCTCAGGGGGGGGCTTTTCGGGTGTAGGGTTTAGGGTCAGGGCGTTTGGAGTCTTGGATTGAAGGGCTTCGCGACATTAGCCCCAAGACAGCAGCCACCTAAACCCTAAAAACCGAACAAACATATTCTCGCCAAGAAACCGAATGTCATCCAGTCCCTGGCCCTCCACAAACCACATGTCGAAGTCCTCGCATGCGAGAACCTGGGCAAGAGGCTCCAGCAAAGTAGCTCTGCTTGGGGGGGGGTGGTTCTTGGGCTCAAACTTATCTCCCCCTTTTTTCCTCCTGGGAACCCAATGTAATGCCCCTACGTAACACCTTTTTCGGAATGTAGAGGGCGGCCCAATGCAAGGCTACGTGACTCGAGCAGACTCGGGGCTTACAACCTTTGGGGTTTGGGGAGTCTCCACTGGCGCTCCACCCCCGCCTTGACCTCTGAGGTTTCCGAAGAGTCTTCCTTCTTCCTCAAGTCTGATCGTGAGCTCTTGCTCTTTCACAAGTGCACAATTGAGATTCAGGCCCCAGGAAGCCTCCAGGCTCTGTGGGCCTTGCTTGGCCTAGTTTACGATCCATGCGCGGCTTTTCAGGACCAGAGACATTTGGGGTTTAGGGTTTAGGGTTTAGGGTTTGGGGTTTAGGGTTTAGGGTTTAGGGTTTAGGGTTTAGGGTTTAGGGTTTAGGGTTTAGGGTTTAGGGTTTTTTGCCGTCCTTTGCCCATTTCAGGGGGCCAGGAAAACTGTCGTGGGAAACGGCCCGAATCCGGGCCCCTGCCAGGCCTAGGGCCTAGGGCTCAGTTCAAGGGCCACATGATTCAGTGAACTCCACATCTACCCCCCCCCCCTTCTGCATCGAAGCCCTGAGCCCGAAGTTAGGGATCTCGAGTCCTCGAAGTTCAGGGTTTTCTTGCTAGATCCGAAACCACTCACACGGGTTTAGGGTTTAGGGTTTAGGGTTTAGGGTTTAGGGTTTAGGGTTTAGGGTTTAGGGTTTAGGGTACACCCAAGCCCTCCTCCCCAACTCCCTCTGCGTTCCCTCTCAGGTCGAGCCGCTCTGCTCGTCGTGTCTGCCAAGCTCTCCGAGCGGCGCATTTCGAAGTTGCTGTTGTCTTCGAACCTGGGCGGGTAGCATACAAGAAAGAGCACATGAAGGAAAATGAAAGGCATATCTTAACGACACTTTGCAGAACCCCGCCCTGGCCTTCAGCCGCAAACACTCCGACGTTTGGCTAGGGGGGTGCACCTGCCCAATGACAACCACACAGACTTTGGCAGGAGCTGCCACCTCGACGCTACTTCCCTGCATCATGCCCGTGCCGGCCATATACAATCCACCCCCCACCCCCACCCCCACCCTTGCTTCTCCCTTCCCCCCGACAAAAATCCAGCCAGATCCGCAAAGAATCGCTGAAGCCAGCGGAGCGATTCTTGTTTTCAAGGTGCTTTCATTGGCAAGCAAGCCGGCGCAAGCTACTAAGAATTCTGACGATTCGGCGATTCCGCCAGCGAAGGAGGGAACCGCACTGTCGAACGGCGCGAGGCGGTGCTCTCTTTGTCCTTTGCGGCTCAAGCTATTGACTTATCTCTGCAGCCACTCCGAGGGGGACTCTCCATCTGAGCCTGAGAGCAATAGTCGGGCCTCTCCCACCTTCGGCCTCGAGGGTCTCTAAAAAAAGCCGCTCGTAACTCGGGGACGACTTCGAGAAGTGCTGATTACTCGACAGCTCTTGAGTTGTAAGCCCGATGTGAAGCTTTTTGGGTGTAACTGCGGAGAGGTTAGTTGTGCGAAACACGCTGGTAGAAACATGCTCTGTGTGCTTTTATTGGCGCACTCTTGCAGTCTGCCAAAGAGTCTGGGGCAGTTTTGGGTCTTGGAGTGCAGAAAGTCCTGC